AGCAATCAAGGAGGTGCACCACGAATGCAACTACACTACAATTTAAGCTGCAGGCATTTTACATATATATTTAACACCCCCACACTGATACGCGAGCCCCATCACGCTAGCCTCGTCACGCGCTCCGTTGGCCCCGTCGCGCCGCCCCGCAGGCCCCGTCGCGAGCTAGCAAAGCCTGCATCAGCAGAGACCACTGCTGCTAACCGTACTGTTGCCCGTATTTCTGAACAACATAATGAATGACCAAGTACAAGGGTAGATATAGGAAACATAACCTTAGCACTAACAAAGTTGTACACCACCTAGACTAAACAATACAAACTATAACAAATAAAGTTTGACGCACCCCCATAGTCTAGGTGATGATAGTCCTGTGGAAAGCAACACATATCTCAAGGTGGATCACGAAGTCACCGCATAGTCTGAGAGCAAGCAAGGGTCACAAGACCAGTCAACAAGAACAAGCAATGTCCATGAGACTAGTTAGCAAGAACAAGAAACAAACAAGAGATGCAACTCAGGGTGAATCACAAAGTCACCACACAGTCTGAGTGCATGCAAGGGGCCACAAGGCCAGTCCACATGCAGATATATAGATATATATAGAGAAATGCAAGAGTACAAGACAAAGCATCTCTACGAAAGCAAGTGAGAACATGCAGGCACAAGGCCAAGTTGCGTGCCGAAGCGGTGGTGATCACAAGGCGGCAATGCCTTTGTGAAGATATCTACAGTGTTGGCCTCCGAGGCTATCTGTACTACGCGGACATGGCCATGCTGCTGCAACTCACGCGAAAGAAAGTAACGAAGCTGGATGCTTCGCCTTCCCAACCAGTCGAGGCTCATCGCACAACATGATAGCAGACCTGTTATCAGCGAACAAGACTGGGGGAGATCGAGGCTGCTCACCAAGGTCGGTGAGAAGGAAAGAAAGACAACCAACGGAGTTTATGGGCGGCGGCGTACACGTCTACCTCACAGCTAGAACTAGAGACGGACAACGCCCGAGTCGACCTCCATGAAACAGCTCCTGCGCCAAGGTTGAAGCAGTACCCCTGTGCGGACCAGAGCTTCGTCAGCGTACGATGAGTTCGAGTGACCAGTGAGAGTAACTGGTTGACGTCCTCTAAGCGCAAGTCCCATGCCTGAGGTACTCCCCAAGTTCTTTGCTATGCTCGTAGCAGTCAACCAGTGAGCAGGTCGGTGTCTCCCAAGCGCAACAAAGCGAGCCAGGATGCTGAGAGGGAAAGCGAGGTCTGGGCTGTCAACGGGAGTTGTGCTTGGCCCCGTCCTCGCTTGGGCGGAGCCGACTTCGCAGTCGGGTGTGCGGGGAGCGCAGCCGATCAGTTGCAGTGAGGGCGCCGAGCAGGAGGACGCTGTCATGGGCGTCTGGACAGCGTCCTGGGAGGTTGGACGCCGACATGGGCGTCTGGACGGCGCCCTGGGCGCTTGGACGCCGACCTGGGCGTCTGGACGGCGTCCTGGGCGCCTGGACGCCGACCTGGGCGCCTGAACGCCGACCTGGGCGTCTGGAAGGCGCCCTGGGCGCCTGGACGCCGACCTGGGCGTCCGGACAGCGTCCTGGACGCCTTGACGCCGACCTGGGCGCCTGGACGCCGACCTGGGCGTCCGGACGCCGACCTGGATGCCAGTAGGCCGACTCTGGGGACGCCGGTCTGGTGTAGCAGGCGACCGACTGGGCTGGACGACCGGGCGTGGTTGCCCGGTCGACCGAGTTACCCGGGCGACGTGTGCGATGGTCGCCGGGGTGGTGTCTGCGAGGCCGACCTTGGAAGTGGTATCCTGAGGTCGACGTGGCTGGTGGGCGCAGTCGCTGGCGTGTTCTCGGCGGGACGTCTGCGCTGTGCTCATGACGAGGTGTGGAGCACCAACCAGCTGCGCGCACCTGCGAAGCAGGTGCACCGTTGTCATGCGGGTGCAACGCTGTGCAGCCGACTTGCAACGTTGGCACACCGTGGACTTGCAACGTTGGCAATCCGCTTCTTTGCAGCGCTGGAGCGGTGCGAGCTTTGCAACGCTGGACCGCGGTCAACCGTGCTGCGCTGGAGGTCGACCGACTTGCTTGCTAGCTCTGATGTAGTCAGTGTTGCCAATGTTGTTCTAACCATTGTTGTCAATCTTTGCTAGTGAAACTCTTGCAAAATCTCCCCGTGAATGTGCAAGTAGAGAATGTGCAAAATCTCCCAGTGAATGTTGGAAGTGGACACTGGAATGGCTCGAAGTGGTCTCCCTAAGGGCTACAGGTGTCGTCCTGGGGGGGTATGGGTGCGCTGACCCACCAAGGTAACATGCCCTTTTATCCAAGTTGGTTAGCGGACTGGAATGCTATCCCTGCATGGTGCGGTGAGCGTGGAGGACCAGGGCTCGATTCCTGCTGTTGGCGACTTCCTGTGCCCTATTGGTGGGCCCTCCCAGTGAGGGGAGTGTTGGAAGTGGACACTGGAATGGCCCGAAGTGGTCTCCCTAAGGGCTACAGGTCTCGTCCTGGGGGGGTATGGGTGCGCTGACCCACCAAGGAAACATGCCATTTTATCCCAGTTGGTTAGCGGACTGGAATGCTATGCCTGCATGGGCGAGTGCAAGTCATCAGGTACATAAGACAACCCACCAAATGTGAGCTTATCATCCACAGCAAGAGGGGTGGGCTGTGTCGAGGAGAACTGAAGACCGAACCGCTCGAGGACCTGCTGCACCATATGCGACTGAGTCAGCGTAATGGTGCAAGCAGCTCTGTCCCTGCTGATCAGCAGGCCAAGGTAGTGCCGCAGCTCACCAAGGTCAGTGCAAGTGTGCCTCTGCATCAATTCGGCCAATGCGCTCCTGTTGAGAGTGGCAAGAACCAAGTCGTCGACGTAGACCAGGATAAAGAACGGGGTCAAAGTGCGGCGGACGAAGAGTGACGGGTTAGGAGACGACAGGAAGAAACAAAGTGATACTAGTGCCGTACGAAGAGTGTCGTGCCAGTCGCGGGGAGCCTGGCACAGCCCGTAGACCGGTCGACGCATCTGCCACTGGGTCCCAGGAGGGAAAGAGCCAGTGAAGCCAGGCGGACGCCGTAGCCAGATATGCTCGTGCATGCTCCCCTGAAGGAACGCAGTGGAGAAGTCTATTGAGTGCATCTCAGAGTCGCGCTGTGCTGCGATGTGCAGTAACATCTTCGGGGTGGGGGAGAAAGTCCAAAAGAAGTCTACTCTCTCGCGCTGACCGAATCCTCTCGCCATGTAACGCGCCTTGAAGACCGGTGGTGCCCCAGGCGGCCGCTTCACCTTGTAGATCCACATGCCATTGACGACGTTCGTCTTAGGTGGTGGGACTGCGTTGACAAAGGTGCCTGTGGACCTATAAGATGCCATCTCTGCCTCCTCAGCTGCTATCCAGTACGAGGCCCAAGGTCCCGAGACTGCATCCGCGTGAGTGCGAGGGATCAGGATGTCAAGGGCGTCTGGACCCCCCTTAGGGGCAAGCAGCATGGCACAGAGATGGGGAGCAGCGGCCGCAAGGAACTTCAGCTCGTACTACCTGTCCTCCAGGACCTCCGAGTCAAAGACAGGAGCACCCCCAAAGGACGGAGAACGTGCACTCACCAGCTGAGCGGTGTTGTCAAGGCGGTGGGAAGAGGCAAAGTCACTGAGAGCAGCAACAAGAGCCGAGACAGACGACAGAGGAGCAGTTGGGTGTGTGACCAACAAGGACAAAACACGAGAGGCGACAGGACGAGCGGCAACGAAGAGAGTCGGAAACCAGGACGGTAGGAACAGGAAGAGATGATGCAAGAGGCGACGGTAGACTCAAAGGAGGTGGAACACGAGAGCGGAGAACAAGGTGAAACGGACTGTCAGCACGGTAACGAGACGGACGAGGCTCTAGGGACACAGCATGACTAAGAGGAGGAAGACGACACCACGGGGATGAGGAAAGAGACGGGTTAGGGGGAACAGGAGGAGACTGTAGGGGGCCACGTACTAAGCGCGCAGGTGCGGGGTCAGGAAGCTCCTCCAGTCGCTGCTGCTCTGCCTCTTCCGGAATCTGCTGCGGCTGTACTTGCTCCTGCTGCTGCGGCTGTGGCTCCCCCCCTACCCTCTCTTGCTGTGGCTGCAAATGTACCTGCTCCTGCTATGACTCCTCCTCTACCCTCTCCTGTTGCGGCTGTAACTGCTCTTGCTGTTGCAGCTGCTGCTGCCGCTGTGCCCTCGCAAACCTCTCCTGCTCCTCCCTCTCCAACTGTAGATGATGCTGCGCACAAGCAGGTAACGTACGGTAGGTTGTGCAGGCGCTGCAGGGTCAGCGCCTCCAGCTCCATCACCCCCAGAACCAGGACCTTCACCAACAACACCTAAGTGCCTCCAGTACCTTCCGCACTAGGACCTCCACCCACAACACCCTTTTTGCCTCCCTTTCGCAGGAACACCCCTAGACTCTGCAAAGACCGGCTGCTAAGATGCGAATCCTGTAATAACAGACTGACTCGTCGAAAGTGGCGTACCCAGAAATGAAGAACCGGTATTGACGTGGGTTGTATAACGCCCAGCCGGAGGCGTCCGGAGGGAAACCAAGCAACACATAGGGCATCGTGTGAGCAGACAGCTTGTTCGCGCCAGGGGCGCGGACGTGAGCCAGAGAGCCCTAGACACGATACTCAGCCACCAAACCTCGAGATCCCCCAGAGAAGGATTGGCGTAACCTGTGGCCGTGCGTCCCTGGGCCACAGGTTCAGCAGGTAGGCGCGGTAGCGGACTGTCTAGGGCCACAGAAACTGGGGGCACCGGCATGGCACATGGAGGCCCCGGCAACACCTGACTAAGCCAATGCGTTGCTCATCTACCCTGTTTTGTTGCAGCGATTCTGGTAGTGTGTAAGACTGGGTGATCCCCTGATCCCGTCAAAATGCCTCCAGACGAGTGGAAGAAAACTCACCACCACGGTCGGAGTGGAGGCGAAGCACAGGACGGCCCTGCGTGGCATTCCTCGCAACCACAGCTCTAGGCCTGCTCCACCCAGGCCTGCCCCACCCAAGCCTACCCCACCCATGCTTGCCCAACCCATGCCTGCCCCACCCATGCCTGCCTCACCCATGCCTGCCCCACCCATGCCTGCGCCACCCATGCCGGCTCTGCCGCCCTGGGGCCGCGCTTCGCTTGGGGAGAGGAGGGAAAATAAGGTGGGGAGAATGGGAATAAGGGGTGATAAGGGGGAGAATAAGGGGGGGAGAGGGGGGAGAATACGGGGTGGAGAGGGGGGAGAATAAGGGGGGGAGAGGGGGAGAATAGGGGGGAGAGAAGGAGGGGAAGAGGGGGAAGAATAAGGGGGGGAGAGGGGGGAGAATAAGGGGGGGAGAGGAGGGAGAATAAGGGGGGGAGAGGGGTGAGCATAAGGGGGGGAGAGGGGGGAGAATCAGGGGGGGAGAGGGGGGAGAATAATGGGGGGTGAGGGGGGAGAATAAGGGGGGGAGAGGGGGGAGAATAAGGGGGTGAGTGGGGGGAGAATAAGGGGGGTGAGAGGGGGGAGAAAAAGGGGGGGAGAGGGGGGAGAATAAGGGAGTGAGAGGGGGGAGAATAAGGGGGGGAGAGGGGGGAGAATAAGGGGGGGAGAGGGGGGAGAATAAGGGGGGGAGAGGAGGGAGAATAAGGGGGGGAGAGGGGTGAGCATAAGGGGGGGAGAGGGGGGAGAATAAGGGGGGGAGAGGGGGGAGAATAAGGGGGGGAGAGGGGGGAGAATAAGGGGGGGAGAGGGGGGAGAATAAGGGGGTGAGTGGGGGGAGAATAAGGGGGGTGAGAGGGGGGAGAAAAAAGGGGGGAGAGGGGGGAGAATAAGGGGGGGAGAGGGGGGAGAATAAGGGGGGGAGAGGGGGGAGAATAAGGGGGGGAGAGGGGGGAGGGGAGAGGGGGGAGAATAAGGGGGGGAGAGGGGGGAGAATAAGGGGGTGAGAGGGGGGAGAATAAGGGGGGGAGAGGGGGGAGAATAAGGGGGGGAGAGGGGGGAGAATAAGGGGGGGAGAGGGGGGAGAATAAGGGGGGAGAGGGGGGAGAATAAGGGGGGGAGAGGGGGAGAATAAGGGGGGGAGAGGGGGGAGACTAAGGGGGGGAGAGGGGGGAGAATAAGGGGGGGAGAGGGGGGAGAATAAGGGGGGGAGAGGGGGGAGACTAAGGGGGGGAGAGGGGGGAGAATAAGGGGGGGAGAGGGGGAGAATAAGGGGGGGAGAGGGGGGAGAATAAGGGGGGGAGAGGGGGGAGAATAAGGGGGGGAGAGGGGGGAGAATAAGGGGGGGAGAGGGGGGAGAATAAGGGGGGGAGAGGGGGGAGAATATGGGGGGGAGAGGGGGGAGAATAAGGGGGGGAGAGGGGGGAGAATAAGGGGGGGAGAGGGGGGAGAATAAGGGGGGGAGAGGGGGGAGAATAAGGGGGGGAGAGGGGGGAGAATCAGGGGGGGAGAGGGGGGAGAATCAGGGGGGGAGAGGGGGGAGAATAAGGGGGGGAGAGGGGGGAGAATAAGGGGGGGAGAGGGGGAAGTCGTTATGTGCTGCATCTGCCACCGGCTCTGCTGACTGCTCTTCGCCTGGGGGAGAGGGGGGGAGGGGAGGGGGAAGAGGATTGGTAGAGCGCCCCCAACCCTAGGTCAGGATTGTTACTAGCTATGATGCGTGGCTGGTCACTTGTTAGTCTGTTACGTGCTGTTTAGTCAGTTAAGCAGTGTAAGTTGTGTAGCTTGATTGGTTGTTTAGAATGGCTGGTCTATTTGCTTGTTTTGCTTGTTTGCATCTTTGTTTGTGCTTGTGCGTTTGTGTTGGAAGGAGGGGAGGGGGGGGTGGGGGAGAGGGGAATGGGGGATGTGTATGTGTGTGTGTGTGTGTGCATACGTGCATACGTGCGTGTGTGTCTGGGCGTGGTCTAGAAGATGCAAGGGAAATCGGGGATTGGGGCAAATGAAGTGGGGGGGAGTGGGTGGGTCTGGGAGACACGGATGAAATGAGGGGGGTGCGACAAAGTTCAAATTCCAACGGACTGCATTTTTCTGGTCAACCAATAACACACTACAAAATCAGTCTACATTGTATTCTGCACTTGTGCAAAAAGAGGAAGAAACAAACTAGGCCTACAAAATCAGGCTAAACAAAAAAAGAGGAAGCTATTAGCCTGATCCCCACCTTCCCCTCCCCAATGAGGAAACAAGGGCACCCCTCCCTTCATTTCACCCTTTCCTTTCCCATTGTGCTGCTGCACTTCTCCTCAAGATCCTCCTCTCCCTTCTCCTCCTCGCCCTTCCTTTTCCTCGCCCGACCTTCTCGTCCTTCCTCCCCCTCGTGCTTCTTCCTCGTCTTCCTCCTCTCCAGAACATCACTAACGACGGGAAAAGGGCCCCATCCCCAGCTCATGCTCCCCCCACCGTCACCCCCCTTCCCCCCAAATCCGCTGCTGCAACCCTCCTCCTCGTCCGCCCTCCTCCACTTCCTCCTCCTACTTCTCCTCCTCCCTCCTCGTCGTTCTCCTCAGAACCTCTTCAATCAACTGACTGTCCAGCACAGTGGGCCATGGTTCCTTAATGGGTTTCCACATTGCAAGTCTTCTCAAACCCCCCAATGAATCGACCCCAGTTGTGTGTTTTGATTGCCAACAGTGCCTGCTCTTCCGTAACCCTTGGCCCCTCTCCATCTCCTCTGCCCCTCTCCCTCTCCCCTGCCCCTCTCCCTCGCCCCTCTCCCTCTCCCCCGCCGCTCTCCCCCGCCCTTCTTCCCCCACCCTTCTCCCCTGCACCTCTCCCCTGCACCTCTCCCCCGCCCTTCTCCCCCCACCCTTCTCCCCTGCCCCTTTCCACTGCCCCTCTCCCCTGCCCCTCTCCCCTCCCCTCTCCCCTGCCCCTCTTCCTGTCCCCTCTCTTCTGATCCTCTGCTCCTCTGCTATCCAGCTCCACTGCTCCTTTCCACTCCCCTTCCAGGCTCTCCTACTCTCGCTACGAAAACCCTCTCTTCCAGTTCCGACACCCTTTGTCGGTGGCGCAAACCAGAAATTCGCAGAAAGAGGAGGATTCAGAAGGCACTTAATACTTTCGGTGGCATTGCTGAGCAGCGAGCAGCATGGAAGGGCTTGCATCCGCACCTTCCGTTGCTGTCCCTAATGAGGAGAGAAGGGCCCCATCCTCTCATGCTCCTCTTAACGTCACCCCCTTTCCTCCCAATTCCGCTGCTACAATCCTCCTCCTAATCCTCCTCCCTCCTCCTCCTCCTCCTCGCACTGCTGCTCCTCCTGCTCCTCCCAGTGCTCGTACCCCAGCTCCTCCCCCTGCTCCTCCCCTTCCCCCTGCTTCCCCTCCCCCTGCTCCTCCCCCTGCTCCTCCCACTCCTCCCACTCCTCCTCCTCCTCCTCCTCCTCCTCCTCCTCCTGCTCCTCCTCCTCCTCCCACTCCTCCTCCTCCTCCTCCTCCTCCTCCTCCTCCTCCTCCTCCTCCTCCTCCTCCTCCTCCTCCTCCTCCCTCCCTCCTCCTCCTCCTCCTCCTCCTCCTCCTCCTCCTCCTCCTCCTCCTCCTCCTCCTCCTCCCTCCTCGTCGTTCCTCCTCCTCTTCTTCTCCTGCCGAACCATTTTAAGCAGCTTAATGTTCAGCACACTGCGCCATGTCTCCTTGATAGCTTCCCCCTTGCCAGCCTTCTCATTCTCCTCTACAAATCGAGCCCAGTCGTGTGCTTCGATGGCCAGCCGTGCCTGCTCCTCTGTGACCTCCTGCAGCTTGCTCATGAGATCCTTTCCAAGGAACTCCTCATACGGCTTCCTCCACCCACTCAGCAGTTCCGTCCCCCCAGCCTCTGCTATCTGATCCCTCCACTCAAAGATGAACTCAGCGCACAGTATTGCCTTCTTGGCCGCAACAAATGACCTCTCTGAGTGATCATACCATGTTCCGAGGGAGCGTTTAGTGCCATTACAGACAAAAACTGCTTGGGTCCTCCCGTCCTTGGTGCGACAGACGTCAGGAAATCGCCATCATTCAGCAACATCTTGGCTTCGTGCAGCCGGCACCAGATTTCGGCGGCTACCTGCTGCCCCTCCTGACGGCCCCTAATCAGCCGTTCAAAGTCCGTGCAAAATGCTTGCAGATGGACCTGCCAGCTCGGGGGACCAATTGCCGACTCCACAACGCCTGTGCAAGCTGCCCCCTGTGCACCTTCAAACTCATCCTCTCTTGCTGAGTCATCCTCTGCTGTTGACTCCTCTGCTGCTACGGCCTCCTCTGTTGCCAAGACCTCCTCTGCTGATAGGGGGAATCTGGTCAGCATGCCGTCCACCAAAGCAACCCACTCTTCACTGCTCGTAACAAGGGCTTCCACGATCTGAGTAAGTTCGTCTTCGGACGGCTTCTCCAGCTCACACATGAGAGCCTCTCCCAAGTACAATTTGTACAGCGACTCCTCCTGGTCGGCCCTCCTAAACACGTAAAAGGCAAAGAGGGCGGATTGTCTCGCCTTGAAAAGACTCACCATCGACCGGTCCTGCCACCTGCCAATAGGGTGACCCACCTTCGGTGGCCCACCGTAGAAGAATACGACTTGAATTCTCTTGCTGTCGTCAACCAGCTGCACCCCAGTGACTCCACCTTTCCTGATTGGACTACCTCCACCCCACTGGCGCCGTCTCCTCTTACACCTCTCTCCACGCTTCACACAATAGTTATGTTCACTAGAATAAAGCGAATCCTGTAGCATCGTCAAATACTCAGAGCTGGCACTCAAATCTTGCTCCAAGTACCCGCATGCGAGCTTCGTCCCCAGTTGCTTGATGGTGGCCGTAAGCTGGTTCACAACAGCAACCGGGGGGAGCCCAAGCCTCACACGGGGAGGCGAGTGGGCTGCTGTCTCGACAGATGCAAAAGCAGCAGAAGTAGTGGTGGCAGCAGCAGCAGCAGCAGCAGCAGCAGCAGCAGCAGCAGCAGCAGCAGCAGCAGCAGCAGCAGCAGCAGCAGAACGGGTGGCAGCAGCAGCAGCACAACGGGTGGCAGCAGCAGCAGCAGAAGGGGTTGCAGCAGACGCAGCAACAGCAGGAGGAGCAGCAGAAGGAGTTGCAGCAGCAGCAGCAACAGCAGCAGCAGGGGTGGCAGCAGCAGTAGAAGGGGTGGCAGCAGCAGCAGCTGCAGCAGAAGGGGCAGCAGCAGCAGCAGCAATATCAGCAATGCGCTGCTGGATCGCTGCCCCTGCAGTTGGGACAGCGGTTTGGTAGCGCATTGCTCATGTTAATGCTGCTGCTGTTGCCTCTGCTACTGCTGCCGCCCCTACAAACAATGCGCTGCTGGACCGCTGCTGCTGCCCCTGCATCTCCTGCAGCAGTGCCTTCAATGTCTGACACCTTCCCTCAAACACTGTGCCCAGCTCCTTTTCCAAAGGCGAGTTGGGAACAACAATTGCATCAGCAATGCGCTGCTGGATCCCTCCAGCAACGGCACCAGCAGTGGCACCAGCAGCAGCAGTGGCACCACCAGCAGCAGCAACAGGAGCAGCAGCAGGAGCAGCAGGAGCAGCAGCAGCAGCAGCAGGAGCAGCAGCAGGAGCAGCAGCAAGCGCAGCAGGAGCAGCATCAGGAGCAGCAGGAGCAGCAGCGGGAGCAGCAGGAGCAGCAGCAGGAGCAGCGACAGGAGCAGCAGGGGCGGCAGCAGGAGCAGCAGCAGGAGCAGTAGGGGGGGCAGCAACAGTAGTGGCAGCACGAGCAGTAGCAGGAGCAGTACAGGGAGCAGTAGTGGCAGCACGAGCAGTCGAAGGAGCAGTATGGGGAGCGGCAGCAGGAGCAGTACAGGTAGCAGTAGGGAAAGCACATTCCACATCCTCCATCGCCAACGGTATGGAAGACTCGCAGCACCAACAGCGGCAGCAGACGAAGCATGGTTTCGGGATGAGGAAACGGGAAGGACAGGTTTCACAGCACGATCAGCAGAAACAGCTGGAGAAGCAGCACCAGCAGGAACAAGAAGCATCCCCATCCTTCCCCCAGTTCTCTCTACGCTGGCCCCCACAGTTCCTCCCTCGCTGCGCCCGCCGTCCACCTTCTCCCCCCCACCATCATCCGCTGCACCGGTCGCCTTCCCACTCGCCCCAGGGCTGCTGCCGCCGCCGCCAACCAACTCCCCTTCCACCCTGCTTGGGCCACTCTCGTCCGCTCTGTGTCCCTGTGCCGGTTTCCCCTGCCACAGCTGATCCTGCTTGCTGCTGCTGTTGCTGCTGTTGACTTGCTTCGTCGCCCCATGGACATCCACCGACGGCAGGGCCCCTGCTACTGCTGCTGGGCGCGTGGGCGGTGCGGCCCGTGCGGGTTCGGCTGCTCTATTTGGGCGTGCTGCTGCAGCTGCTGCTCGTGCGGCACCTCCTTCTGCCGCAACAGCAGGAGAGTTCAGAGGGCTGGCAGAGCGCAGAGGGCTGGCAGAGCGCATAGGAGGCCCAGCAGCAGCCCAAGCAGTCAACCCTAAAGCCGTGCTGCTGTCACGCTGCTCCTCCTGCTGTCGCCCTGCCACCTCCTCCTGCTGCAACGTGCCATCTGACCACCATGCGTCCTCCTCCTGAGCTGCTGCTGCTGCTGCAGCTTCGTGTGTTGCTAGTGCTGCATGTGCTTCCATTACTGCAGCTGCCGCTTCCTGTCCTCCTAATGCCGCTACTCCTGCCGCCCCTGCAGCAGGGGCAGCAGCAGCAGCAGCAGCAGGGGCAGCAGTAGCAGCAGGAGAAGCAGCAGCACCGGCCTTCCTCCTCCGGGTCTCCGCCTCTTGTCTTTCCGCCACGTCAAGGCGCGCCCTCAACTCGAGCAGGGACTCCTGCTCCTGGTTACCACCAATCACGTGCTGGTTACCACCGTTCACGTGCTGGTTACCACCATCCACGTGCTGGTTACCACCATCCACGTGCTGGTTACCACCATCCACGTGCTGGTTACCACCATCCACGTGCTGGTTACCACCATCCACGTGCTGGTTACCACCATTCACGTGCTGGTTACCACCAATCACGTGCTGGTTACCACCAATCACGTGCTGGTTACCACCATTCACGTGCTGGTTACCACCAATCACGTGCTGGTTACCACCATTCACGTGCTGGTTACCACCATTCACGTGCTGGTTACCACCATTCACTTGCTGGTTACCACCATCCACGTGCTGGTTACCACCATCCACGTGCTGGTTACCACCAATCACGTGCTGGTTACCACCATTCACGTGCTGGTTACCACCAATCACGTGCTGGTTACCACCATTCACGTGCTGGTTACCACCAATCACGTGCTTGTTACCACCATTCACGTGCTGGTTACCACCATTCACGTGCTGGTTACCACCATTCACTTGCTGGTTACCACCATTCACTTGCTGGTTACCACCAATCACGTGCTGGTTACCACCAATCACGTGCTCGTTACCACCAGTAACTCCCACCCCTTCCCCCCCTTGCACCTGGTTCCTTTCCTCCCTCCTCCACTCTCCCTCTGTCACTCTCTCCCTCTCCTCCTTCCCAGCAGTCTTCATCACGTCCCCCCCTTCATCCTCGTCACTCCCTCTCCCGTCCGCTGGCCCACCCCCCATCCCTTGCTCCTCCTCACCCCCAACCACACTCAATCCGACTCCATCTCCCTCGGCCCCTTGCTCCAACCCCCTCCTCTCCTCCTCTACCCTCTCCCCCTCCTCCTCCTTCTTCCTCTTCTCCTCCTCTCTCCTCTTCAACGCATTCAGAATCATCCTCTCCTCCTCGTCTGACTCGGAGAAGCTACCGTCTTCCCCATCACCGCTCTCCACCACTCTCCACCTGCCATCCGGAAACACTTCCACCTCGTCGTCCTCCTCACTCGTTTCTTCAAGAATCTTTTCCACTGTTGGGAGAGTGGTGAGGTGCAGTGTAGTGCGGTGTGAAGGGGGCGGAAGAGAGGGTGGAAGAAAAAAAGGGAAAAGGATGAGCCATCAGTCTGATCCGCCTATACCTGCCACAAAAAAAACTGCTCCACCTTGCCGTCGCCTTCTTTGTTCCTCCAGGAATCGTTTGCACTGTTGGGCAGGGAGGGGAAGACGTGGGGAAAGTGGGGGAGGAAGAGAAGGAAGAGGGGAATGGATGAGAAACACAGAGAAGTAGTGAGTGCCAGCAGCCCCATTACCACTCTCCACCCTTCTCCACCTGCCATCTGAAAGCACCTCCACTTTATCCTCTAGCTCATCTGAAAACACAGTTGTGGGAGAGCGAGGGAGCGGAGAAGTTGGTGAGTTCCATCTGAATCGGCACACCTGCCATGTGGAACACCACCCGCCTGTATCCGCCATGTGGAAACACCTCCCACTCGTCATACTCCTTACTTGGAGCATCTTTCGCACTGGTGGGGTGCAGTGAGGAGCAATGGATTGTAGTGGGGTGAAGTGCGGTGCAGTGTGCTCTCAAATGTGTACTCACTGAATCCATCCAGAAACATCTCGGACCACAGCAGTGGCTGGTAGCAAATAGGGCAGCGCCACCCCCTCTTGTCGTTATTCTTGGCCAAGCCTTGGATCATGTGAAGGTAAGACGCGAGATCAAACGTGCTCTCATGGGAGCACTTCTTGCCCCGCACTGGCACCTGCAGTGGGAGAACGTGGATAGAAGAATCAGAAATAACTTCTTGAATCTGAAGCAGAGGTAAGATAGCTCTCATGAGAACACTTGTTGCTCTGCATCGATACCTGCAGAAGGAGAGGGGGGGTGGGAGAACTAGCGTGGCTTCTGATCCTCAAGACACGATCAAGTCGAACGGGGTGCGAAACATGAGGAGTAGTAGCAGTGGCAGTGGGAGGGGGGGGGGGGGGAGGGGAAGGGGGGGGTGGGGGTGGAGGACAAGAAGAAAGTTGAAGAGGAAAAAGAGGAGGGCAGGGATTGGCTAAAATTCTGACCTTAATGCGTTTGAGGGAGAGAGGGCACTTGAGGCTGGTCACGCAAGCTTGCATGTCAACGCCGTCCTCCTTTGAGGTTCTCACCATCTCCGCCACCACCACCTCGCTTGCCCGCACCTTCCTCGTTAGCATCACCTCCTCCTGTGTGTCATAGGGGGGAGGTGGGGGAAGAGGAGGGAGCTTGTTGGTTACTCAAGAGTTCCTCACTCTCCCTCACCCAATACAGCCCATCACACTCCCTTACCCAATACAGCTCATCACATCACACTCCCTTACCCAATACAGCTCATCACATCACACTCCCTTACCCAATACAGCTCATCACATCACACTCCCTTACCCAATACAGCTCATCACATCACACTCCCTTACCCAATACAGCTCATCACATCACACTCCCTTACCCAATACAGCTCATCACATCACACTCCCTTACCCAATACAGCTCATCACATCACACTCCCTTACCCAATACAGCTCATCACATCGCACTCCCTTACCCAATACAGCTCATCACATCGCACTCCCTTACCCAATACAGCTCATCACATCGCACTCCCTTACCCAATACAGCTCATCACATCGCACTCCCTTACCCAATACAGCTCATCACATCACACTCCCTTACCCAATACAGCTCATCACATCACACTCCCTTACCCAATACAGCTCATCACATCGCACTCCCTTACCCAATACAGCTCATCACATCGCACTCCCTTACCCAATACAGCTCATCACATCGCACTCCCTTACCCAATACAGCTCATCACATCACACTCCCTTACCCAATACAGCTCATCACATCGCACTCCCTTACCCAATACAGCTCATCACATCGCACTCCCTTACCCAATACAGCTCATCACATCGCACTCCCTTACCCAATACAGCTCATCACATCGCACTCCCTTACCCAATACAGCTCATCACATCGCACTCCCTTACCCAATACAGCTCATCACATCGCACTCCCTTACCCAATACAGCTCATCACATCACACTCCCTTACCCAATACAGCTCATCACATCGCACTCCCTTACCCAATACAGCTCATCACATCGCACTCCCTTACCCAATACAGCTCATCACATCGCACTCCCTTACCCAATACAGCTCATCACATCGCACTCCCTTACCCAATACAGCTCATCACATCACACTCCCTTACCCAATACAGCTCATCACATCGCACTCCCTTACCCAATACAGCTCATCACATCGCACTCCCTTACCCAATACAGCTCATCACATCGCACTCCCTTACCCAATACAGCTCATCACATCGCACTCCCTTACCCAATACAGCTCATCACATCGCACTCCCTCACCCAATACAGCTCATCACATCGCACTCCCTCACCCAATACGCATCATAAAGAACTCACCAGCTGCTTGATGCCTTTCTCCGTGAGTATCATCGTGAGCACCTCGGGCGGGTTATATGGCACCACCCGCTCCACCCAGTATAGCTCCACATCCTCCCTCCCACACACCTCTCCCCCGTCATCACACAACAACCCCAGGCTGTCCTGACACTTTTTCGGGAACGCGGGCAACAGGCGAACCACAGCCAGGATAGTTTCAAACAGCTCTTCCTTTGCTGCTCTCTCCTCCGCCTCCCTGCCCTGAAACGGATCGTGCTCGCGCGGGCCCAGCCGCCCGTCGGTCTTTTTCGTCCACCAAGTGATCAACTCCTGCAGCTGCATCTTCAGCAGGACCCCATGCTGCGCCGCTGCCTTCCGCCTCCGCAACTCCGCCTTCTTCCGATCCTTCTCCCATCTCGCGAAAACGTTCTCCCCTCCCGCCACAGGACTCAAATACCCCTCATCGCCCTCCTCTTCTTGCGCCTCATCCTCCACTGCCGCATCTCCACCTCCCCCTCCCTCCGCTAGCCCCGCGCCCCCTTCTCCCCCTTCTCCCGCCTCCCTTTGCTCCCCCGCCGCTTCCTCCCCACTCCCCCCACCCTCTCCCCCATCCGTTCGCTCAGTCAGCAGCAGGGCGGTCACGCCAAAGAGCTCCTCCACGTGTCGAATGGACTCGTGGATGGATCTCAAGGCCCTGTAGTGCAGAGGCTCGATTCGACCACCCCACCCTCTCCCCCATCCATTCTGTTGCTGCTGTTGCTGTTGGTGGTGTTGGCGCATATTGTTCTGCTGTTGCACGAGCTGCTGACAGGCACCTGATGCTGCTGCTGATTGCTCTGAACAGTCAACTGCTGCTGTTTCGGCTGCTGCTGCTGCCGTGATGGCTGCGACGCAGCTCCCTGCTGCAAGCGTGCTTCCTGAATTTGCTCGGATTTCTGAATCTACTGTGCTTTGAAAACTGCCGTTCTTTCAAAATCTGCCCTTCTCCCTGGATCTGCCCCTTTCCCTGAATCCGCCCCTTTCCCTGAATCTGCCCCTTCCCCTGAATCTGCCCCTTTCCCTGAATCTGCCCCTTCCCCTAGATCTGCTTCTGTCCCTGGATCTGCTGTGCTCTCCGAGTCTGCTGTTCTTGCTGGAGCTACTGGGTTTCAAGGTAACAACATCAGAAAAATGTCGTTCTGCCGAAAACCGGGGGACGAGTACTTAGCTTTTTTTTTGGGTTGTCGAGCGCCCTGTAATTGGCCGTTTACTGTGAGGGAAGGGTTGTGACTTAGGACGCGGGGGTAAACTGGCGGTTTTTGTCTGTTGTGGGTGATTTCCGTGATTGTCTGGGATCGCGAATTTCAGGGGAAATGGGCAGGTTTGAGGCTGGAAGAACTTGGCAGTTTACTGGCAGGAACCTGACGTTGCCTGACGGGGCAGAGAGCTGCGGAATGCTGCGGAATGCTGTGGATAACTGTGAAGGTCTTCCCGTGGTCACGATTTTCGTTTGCCACGTCATCTCATGGCGCGTGATTTTAGATTCGCGATATGATTCGAATCGACTGTTAGAACTGAAACTGTTGAATACATATTTACTTCTGTTCAGATTCGTAAATGTATGTGAAAGTATTGTTGCTAATCCCTTCAAACACTCACAATCACCCTACTATTTGCTAGGGTAGTATCAAATAATTATCGTATGCATGTTACCTCTGAATATACATCGCAACGTTCGATGGCCCGAAACTGATGAAGGATGGGCCAGTACGCAACATGTCACCGTTTCGTCGTTTGGTTTATTTTTTTAGCACCATTTCTTCACACATTCAGGTAGTTCAATCAATTACCTTGCCATAGGAACTGGATTGAGTTAATTCGCACAACTACGCAGCACGTGACGCTTGTTTGTGCGTTTGATGGCCTGAACCTGTGCAAGGATAGGTAGTACGCAACATGTCACCGTTTCATCGTCTGGTTGTTTTTTTTAGCACCATTTCTTCACACATTCAGGTAATTCAATAAATTAACTTGCCATAGGAACTGGATTGAGTTAATTCGCACAACTACGCAGCACGTGACGCTTGTGCGTTTGATGGCCTGAAACTGTGCAAGGATAGGTAGTACGCAACATGTCGCCGTTTCATCATCTGGTTGTTTTTTTTAGCACCATTTCTTCACACATTCAGGTAGTTCAATCCATTACCTTGCCATAGGAACTGGTTTGAGTTAATTCGCACAACTACGCAGCACGTGACGCGTGTTTGTGCGTTTGATGGCCTGAAACTGTGCAAGGATAGGTAGTACGCAACATGTCACCGTTTCATCGTCTGGTTGTTTTTTTTAGCACCATTTCTTCACACATTCAGGTAATTCAATCAATTAACTTGCCATAGGAACTGGTTTGAGTTAATTCGCACAACTACGCAGCACGTGACGCTTGTTTGTGCGTTTGATGGCCTGAAACTGCGCAATGATAGGTAGTACGCAACATGTCACCGTTTCATCGTCTGGTTGTTTTTTCTAGCACCATTTCTTCACACATTCAGGTAATTCAATCAATTAACTTGCCATAGGAACTGGTTTGAGTTAATTCGCACAACTACGCAGCACGTGACGCTTGTTTGTGCGTTCGATGGCCCGAAACTGTGCAAGGATAGGCCAGTACGCAACATGTCACCGTTTCAACGTGTGGTTGTTTTTTTTATCACCATTTCTTCACAAATTCAGGCATTTCAATTAATTACCTTGCCATAGGAAGTGGTTTGACCTCATTCGTACACCTACGCAGCACGTGACGCTCGTTTGTGCGTTCGATGGCCTGAAACTGTGCAAGGGTAAGCCAGTACGCAACATGTCATTGTTTCATCGTCTGGCTGTCTTTTTTAGCACCATTTCTTCACACATTCAGGTATTTCAATCAATTACCTTGCCATAGGAACTGGTTTGACTTAATTCGCACAACTACGCAACACGTGCCGTTTGTTTGTGCGTTTGCTGACCTGAATATGTGCAAGGATAGGCCTGTGCGCAACATGTCAGCTCGCGAACGTCAGGATGCTTTTTTTAGCACTATTTCTTCACACTGATCCCTACTACATCCTATTCCCTAGCCATAGGAACTGGTTTGACCTCGTTCGCACAACTATACAGCACATAGCGCATGTTTGTGCGTTTGCTGGCTTGAATCTGTGCAAGGATAGGCCTGTGCGCAACATGTCAGCTCGCCAATGTCTGGATGCCTTTTTTAGCACTATTTCTTCACACTTATCCCTACTACATCCTATTCCCTAGCCATAGGAACTGGTTTGACCTCGTTCGCACAACTACGCAGCACGTGGCGGATGTCTGTGCGTTTGCTGGCCTGAATCTGTGCAAGGATAGGCGCATGCGCAACATGTCAGCTCGCCAACGTCTGGATGCCTTTTTTAGCACTATTTCTTCACAGAATTCTCTACTACATCCTATTTTCTAGCCATATGAACTGGTTTGACCTCGTTCGCACAACTATGCAGCACGTAGCGCATGTTTGTGTTTTTGCTGGCTTGAATCTGTGCAAGGATAGGCCTGTGCGCAACGTGTCAGCTCGCCAACGTCTGTATGGCTTTTTTAACACTATTTCTTCACATTTTTCCCTACTACATCCTATTCCCTAGCCATAGGAACTGGTTTGACCTCGTTCGCACAACTATGCAGCACGTGGCGCATGTTTGTGCGTTTGCTGGCCTGAATCTGTGCAAGGATAGGCCAGTGCGCAAAATGTTAGCTCGCCAACGTCTAAATGCCTTTTTTAG